TACACACAGTATATATATTACATATACGCTTAAAAAATCTTGTTCTTGGCCATGGGTTTTTTCCTTTGTCGTGTAATTCCATATGAGATTCCAATTAATAGCCTTATTCCTAACTCAATACTCATTTATGCAACTGTACTTTGTACATTGGGTAGATTTCTGTAATTAATAAACTTTGATCATTTATTGATAATACTTAAATCATGAAACAACATATAGGAGTTAATTTCATATGGGATTCCAATTAATAATCTGATTTCTAACTCCACTCTATTGATGCTACTGTATCTTGTACATCCAATAGAAAGCTCAATATTGTGTTGAAATATATATCTCCCCTTGTTCAAAGGGAAAGTTTTCTATATATATTCCATAACACCTCTGCGCCATAAGGATTAGGGATGTTTTGTCTGTGGTATGGGATTTATTTATTACAAAATTTTAGAATGAAAAACAATATGAAATGCCCTCCATAGATAACCAAAAGTAAAACTATCAAGGGTTCTCCAAGGCATCATAAAATAAAAAATTGCAACATTTATATTAAAATTAATTTTTCAATAAATAAGTTGAAGTTGTATAAAAATATTATAAAATATATACAAAGAAATCATTACATAAAAAAAAAATACAATCAGTAATTCAAACAGGATGCATTCAAACTAGTTAAAAATACAACTTTCTGGGTGCTCTCACAGTCACATTTTGGCAGTTAGGCCATCATGTTAGGTAAAGATCTATGGTTCAAATCTTTTTAAAGGTTGATTGATTTCATCCATTTTTGTATATATTCCTGCTTTCTTGGCCAGTGTATATAAATATTATATTTAATATTGTCAAATTTGTAATTAAATATATATATATAGCTTAATCACCAAATGACATTAAACTCATCACAAAATACAAAAAAACTACATATTTGGAATGTTACTTTATTTAATAGAAATATTAAGGTGGACACCATACATAAATATACAATTAAATTACAAACACAATCTTCTTATTACATTTATAAAATACAAAAGTAAGAAATTAAATTAAAATTATAAAAATATTTGATCTATGTGATATGAAAAAATGGTATCAGATTGAAATTGAATGTTCAAGACCACTAACGTAACTCCAGCAAAGATTTCATTCAGAAATATTATCAAGTGTAAGGTTCTCTTTTTCCGCATCTGATTTAACGGATATGTTATCGGACCGTGCGGTCTGCGGCGGCTCCCCTAGTAGAATATCTAACTGTTGTTTCTGGTTGTCGCCGAGTTCCTCTAGACGGCGCTTGATCATCGATATATCGTTGTGGTGCTGGTCCTGAAGACAAGAAAATTATTATATTAGTTATTCAATATTGGCCATCAGTGGACCTTTCTGGTGTGTCAATCAAATGTATGCTTCTTTGTGGGACCATAGCAACAATATCCAAGGGGCGGGGCCCTTGAAAAAAAATACTGGGAAGAATCGGAATCAGAATTTTAAGATTAAAATTGTTATTTGATTTATGATGTTTAAATAATATATCGTTTAATTAGGCTACCAAGCAAATTTTGTTTGGCCTGAGGGTTTGACCAGGAGGTATGTTTCAGCTTCTAAGATGAAGGCCCGGTTGTAACCTGGCTAGCATCAGGTTTTACTTGAAGTCTGATCACTTTAAAAATCCCTGGCATAAAAGTTAGGCAGGATAGATTGGGTAATGTCCTGAATGGAGTGGGCAGGGCCCAGAACCCATCGGAGAATAAAAAATACATCCCAATGTTTCCCTCCTTAACTATTCGACAGGAGGTTGGCTCTCTCACATGGCACCACCACTGAATACTAGCAGGAATAGGTATGGCAGATTGTGCTAAGAGGAGCCAAGGAAAAGTGCAAACAGTTAAAATAATGTACTAGTGCTCATCAACCAGTTTAGTCAATTTAATGATATATAGTTCTAGCAAAACAGTGAACCCATGTGCTGTACTGTAGCGGATCCAGAATTGTGTGTTATATAGGGGAATAAATTATACCCGTAGTGTTCTAATGATACAATATAAGGCATGATAATATTATGCATTACTGCATACTCAAGTTAAGGACACTATAGTAAAATACAAGCCAAAAACCATTATTTCCTGAAAAAAATATTACCATTGCTTAATAATTTATTGGCTCATTCTTTCAAAACAGACCATACAACAGAACAAAAGTTACAAGATAAAATTCATGAAAAAGAGATGATAGTAATGAAATAAAAAAATTCCAAATGCAATAAAAATAATATTAAATACTAAAGTATAAAATCACAACTAAAATGAAAAAAAAATGAAAAATATATAATTAAATAAATAAAAAATAAATTATTAAATAAATGAAAACAAACACTTAAGAATAATAATAATCATTAGTGCACAAATATCCCAATCATATCTTATCTATTTGATAAACCTCCCTACAGGTGCATTCCTTTCTTTTATTCCAACTGTGTTTTATTTCCTCTCGGAAATTACGGTAGCAGTAATTTGAGACTGTAAAATGTTAAAAATGATATGCTGACTATATTAATATTTAGATAACCCTAAAAAACCAATTAAAACATATAATTGCTTATTAAAAAATGGTGAAATAACATCTGTAGGACACAGATTGTAACAATTTAGTTCTCATTGATTTTTCATTGATTAGCAACTAATTTAGGTGTTATGCAAAGATTGCAGGATTTTGGAGGAAATTTTTGGAGGGGCATGCGCCCCCCATAGATACGCCACTTGACCAGACTGTGCAATGCTCTGTGGGGATTGCCACTCTTCCTCACAGCGTGACACTGTTTACATCCCAGTAAATGCCGGCATCAATTTATACTCCTGAGTAGTAGGAGACAAACGCAGACAAAGTGTCTTGCCCAAGGACACCCTGCGTCATGCACAGCGAGGGCTCGAACCCCTGACCACAAGGTAGAGAGTCCTCGCCAAATGATTTCATATTCTAATAATTCAATCTAATAAATGAATAACAATAATAATATTCCGATTTCATTACTAGCCACCAAGCGCAAGCTTGGTGGCTAGTGGTTAAGATATTAGGCTAGTTACCTGGAGGTCATTTGTTTTATTCCCATCCGAATCACTTGCGAAATTTTTTCCGCAAGCATTTGGGAATGTACTGCGCATTCAGTACTTATAACACGTCAGGTAGGGCTAACATTTCGTAATATTATTAACAATTACTGTATAATAATAAAAATATTAACGTTAATATACAGCATTGCTAGATAATGGCAGTTTTATAGGTAGCCAAGGATAAAATCTAAAGGAGCACACAAGCTCCAACTCAGCCAAATACTGAAACATACAAATAACTCAGAATAATTACAATGTCATAGACGTATGAATCAATCAGTGTTACGACAGACAAATATAAAGATAGATTAACAACCAAGTGTCTGAATTTGTGTTGGATAATATCAATAAGTGCCGACGTCATTCAAGTCTCATCAAATACTTTAATTACTTAATTATTTTCAAGCATTGGAAACCAATGCAGAAGTATTGAACTACAGAACACGGCTAACCATAAATAGTAATCAAGATTTGAACTATCACACATTGTGAATATTCTCTGGATGAAAGCTAATGAGGAAGTGATCAGTACCATTATTACTTGTTATTGTAATTTAATTATATAACAAGTTACAAAACAGAAGGAAAAAAAAATTAAAAATACTTTTCTGACACTCAAGGGCCCCAATATATTCTCCTTCTCCCCCGGGGCCCCAATAAATAGTTGTTAATGTTATGCCACTGGGATAGAAATGATTCACCCCTAGTATTTTGGCTGAAAAAATGCCAATGACTAGGCATAATAATATTTATAAATAACAATTGCACATTGCTTTGAAAACAGATTGTTTCTATTGTGTTATTTGTATTGGCAAAGTTAAGAAAAACATATTTAAATTATAAATTTGCAATTAAAATAGGAAGTTAGCAATAGTTATATTTTTGATGCACATTTTCTTTCTTTCAACAATCAGTCAAAACCTGAACTAGTTATATTAAAAATAACTAATTAATTCTGCAAAATCATTGTATGTATTAGCTATGAAAATATATCATCCATTAGTAAATATCCCTAGGTCAAGAAAATCACACTCGTGAAACAGTTAAATGAAATCAACGTAAGCTTTCATTGTGTTGAAATAACCGTTCAACTTAGTTCAAATAACTGATAATCCCAGGCACCGCTCTAGAGCATAACAAACCAAACAGAATTAAAAACGGTTCAAATTTGCATAGAGAAGCATATGCTATATTGTAGAAATCCAACACCAATACAGTTATTCAAATGATAACGGTTGCTAGTAACGAATTGAAGCTAGTGTATTAGGCTACATTCTGAAGTGGACACCAGCTCTGTGAGAATAGAATAAGCTCAGGAACTATGGGAACACACACTTACTTGTGCTACGCTTGAGTGGATCGGAATATACAGACTGTAAGAATGTTAATCATTTTATTGACGATTATGACAAAAATAAAATTTAACACTTGATAAATGTTACAATTACATGAAAATTATTAATCATAAGAATATATCTATTACATCCTAAAAAGAAAAAAAATAAATATAATAAAAAAATAAATGAAATATTAATTATTAATATTATAAATTTGAAAGGATTAAAAAAAATTAATTAAAAAACTTGATATTAATTATTAATTTACAAATTTGAACTGATGCAAAAATGAGTAAAATTTAAAGTACTTCACTCAAATTACAACAGGAGATTGTGTTTTACAATATATTGTTCGGCTCACATCCACTTAATTCTGTATTTTATGCCTGTTAAAATTGTACACAATGCATGACTGGGTTTTGATAACAATGAATGATCAATTGACTGATTGATTGATAGGAAATATAGTACAACTCACCTGTTCTGAAAAGCTTCTTGGATGAAATGGCGTTGAGCTATAATTTGGCAACACTCCAGCTAATGATAGATTGGCGATTGGCGCAAGGCTCATGTCCGCTCCGACTAGTATACTTTTGAACTCGCTCTGTTTGCGTTGGAGTTCACGTAACTTACGAACAGCTTTTGAGTATGTCTCTTTGGGAATTTGTCTCCTGAAAGTTAAATACATAATTCTGAAGAATGACATTCATGAATGAAAAAAAAACCTGTATCACCATTAATATTATGATAAATATTTTTGTGTTTGTCTTTTTGATTCTCATTATCTTTATATTAACCATCATCCTAATCATATTATTTGTTAGTCGCTCTGTTTGCGTTGGAGTTCACGTAACTTACGAACAGCTTTTGAGTATGTCTCTTTGGGAATTTGTCTCCTGAATGTTAAATACATAATTCTAAAGAATGACATTCATGAATGAAAAAAAAACCTGTATCACCATTAATATTATGATAAATATTTTTGTGTTTGTCTTTTTGATACTCATTATCTTTATATTAACCATCAACCTAATCATATTATTTGTTAGTATTATCCTAATCATGACCATATTAGCATTACAAAAAATCATTACTTCTAAATTTATTTTATTTCAAATCAAAACCAACAGTGAAATATATTGTCACATATAGGCTTGATAAGACACAGACAAGAAAAGAAACAGACACTGACAATAAAGATACAAAGAAAAATGAAACGTTAATCAAAAATGATTGCACATGCCTTTGCCAGAAGAAAATACAAAAATAAATTTCAAAAAAGCACAATAAAAAGTTAATAATAGAAAAATTACTCAACAAGGTAATTAAATATAAATTTCCAAATTTGTTAGAATTACTAAAATTATAAACTTCAGGACAAGTATTACCAAAAGTGTTAATAAATGGTTAAAAAATCCATTCTTGCAAATGTTGGGGTAAAAATAATATAAGAAATAAAATCTATAAAGAAAGAATTACCTTAATGTTTGATTCTCTAGTTCTAGTTGTTGTTCTTTTGCCTCTACTATCTGTATTTTATCTTTCAATCGATCTACAACTGTTTGATACTTTTTCTTTTTCTAAAAAAAAAAAGGAAAAGTTGTCTATGACATTTAAACTCATAATTTAGTACAGTTGTAGCTTGGTCATTAAGATGCTTGCTTTCAACCTTTAACCTCAATATATATCTTCTTACCTTTTTATGGAGTTTTTCTTGCATTTCTAAATTTTTATTTAAGTTTTGAATCTGATCTTCAAGTTCCTCTAGCCTTTTCTGCAGTTGTTGCTTTTCATCTAGACTAGCTAGCCTATGTTGTTCCAGTCGTTGCTGGGTAACCTCTTGAATTTGTTCCATGTCTTGTCGAGCCAGTCTAAGTTCGTCGTTCAGCATGTCGATAGAGTTTTTGAATTTGTCATTTTCCGCATTCAGTTCCTGTTCGATCGTCTGTAGACTTAGGAGCTCTGTGCGATTTTGATGTAGTTTTTCTCGTAGTCCAGCATTTTGTTGTCGTTCTTGATCCAATTCATTGCTCAAATTATTATTCTGGTCAAATTTTGTTCTAAGTAAATAAAAAATTCAGTGTAAAATAATATTATTCTAAAAATGGAAACCATCATACAGTTCTTTTAGATCAAGGGTGAGTATAAAAATTGGTTGGTTGAAGGGATAAAGTGAAGTTTGATTTAACACTGAGGACTGCACTTTTAACACTTCCAGAAAAAAACTATACAGCACTTCTATTATAACCACTTTATGCTCAGTTTTAATATTAATTTCTACAGATAATCATTTTTGGGCCGTAAAACAAGGGGTTTTCTAGCCAAAGATGGTAGGCGGACCACATATTATAGGGTTGTTGCGAGCCACAAAAAAAATTGAGCCACATTTATCCCACCTGTGATTTAGTCTGGTAGTTATTGTAAGGCAGGAATATACAGGCATACATGTGTATATGAGTGTTAGGCATGTGTGTATGAGTGTACACAGTTTTCCACCAGAGAACGATCAGAAAATTATTAGAACTTGTATGCAATTCAAAATGCTCATGGCAATTATAATTCTAAACGACAGATTTCAAAAGATGGAAAATAACTACGGTACATATATATTGGTTTTGTGTTTTATTTGTATTTTTCATCTAGACCATTTCTACATATTGATTGATGTATGCCCAAGGACAATTTTTTCCAGGTCATAGCTTAAGGCATAAAGTACAACAGGTTAAATTTATATAACTCATTACATTATTGAATGAAAAAATTATGACAAAATTTGTGTTGTTTGAGAGAAATTTTCTTGTCCTTGCATCCTGCTTTTTTTTTTTTTATTGTTGATGTACTATATGCAATATTTTAATGAAACAAACAAAAAGCATTGCAGGTCGAGATCCATGGCTAAATAGAAAAAAAGGATTAGCCTTTATCTGGTGATTAATCTCTTAGGTTTTCACACCTACACATAAACAATCCTTGACTGATGCACATTTATTTTAAAATGTTATGCCATAAATTATATAGTGGGCTATAAATAATGTTTTATTTCATGATTTTGAATATTTTCACGCTTTTCCCGTTAAAATTGGCCAAGTACTTACAAAGATATAATATTAATCATTGTTTTTGGTAAGGTTTTGGTCAGCTATTCAATATAATACCCTACACCCCTCTGCTGATAACCATTCAAGCAAGGCCTGACTTATCAGCTAGACAGAGAAACATGGTACGAAATGAATAGAAACGCGTTCATGAAGTAGTACGATGTTTTGAGGCGATAGGTCTAAGTCTAGGTATTTTCACACAGTTTTGAAGATGGAATTGTATAATTACTAAAGTGTTCGTTCTGATTGACACTTTTTAACCAGAATAGCAATGGGTCAAAACAGCAATAACCCAAAAAAAAAAAAATAATAATAATAATAATAATCATATTGGACGAAACACAATATAAAAGCAGTAGACATGTAAATAATTTAAAATAGTGACAAAATGATTATATAATGACATTAATTTAAAATAATAAAAATGAAACAGTACAGTAGTAGTAATAATAATAATAAGAAGAAATAGGCCTTATAACAATATCACAAAATACAAATTGAATAATAAAAATAAACACAATAATATCAGTGAACGTTCAAATAAATAAAACTTTATAATACAGACAAAAAAAAAATATACCCGATATATATATGTCATAAAAGTTTATTGCCGTTTTGAACTGAGACCCTCCCTAAAGTACTGATCGACTTTGAGGGCTGCAGAGTGATGATCATTTGGTACATTGATGAAGAATGTCGATGAATTTCTTGAACAGAAATTTCCAGGGTGTATTTTGAAAAGAATTTGGGAACATTTGAACTATTTGAAATGCTAGAGCGTTTAGAGGTATTCTAACCAATGATGAGACTTTCAGCAGGTTTATGCTTTGAACGAAGATACCTGAACGAACGCCTGTGTTATGTATTGTAGTAGCGGCCTAGCAGCAATGCCTGGATAAGGTAATCCGTGGATATAAATAATATTATAAATAGTACTAGGCCTAGGTAATAGGCCTAGCCTAGTTAGCTCTAGTAGTAGTAGGTCTAGGCATAGGAGGATAGGCCTTTTCCACAAATTATCGGTATACATTTTGAAGTGATGACAAACATTGCGAATCAGCGGTGCATAACCAACAGAAATAAGATAAGCCTTTGGGCTGATTTTCTGACATCATGTTATTAAAAATATTATAATTCCATAACGGGGCGTCGTATCCAAATGTTTTTCCAGCAAAATGTTCTTAAAAGACTAGTCTACACCACTATATGATTTAAAAAAAATATTGAAAAATGTTTGTGACCTTTGAAATCAAGATGGAAAAGCCTGTCTAAGTAGTGTCTTAAAATAGGCCTATGCATTACAGTGCAGTAGCATAGTACAGTACTTTCGTGTTACTGTTCCAGGTACCTATAATTTTCAGATTTCTCTTATTATAGAGTACAAGTTATGTTTTATAAAGAAGTATAGTATAGTAAATCATGTTTTTAACACAGGAAATTCTCATATGGTAACTAAAACAATGCTAGTCCAGAGTATTACTAGCACTACTGCAAATTAAATTTTTGTATAGACTTAATTTATGTTTATTGTTTTTTATACAAGTTAGGATTGTTATTATGTTATTGTCATTTTCTTTTTATGTACCTATCATGCTCACTTGTGTTTTTTTTTCCTATTTGCAGCAGACTTAAATTTATGAAAGGGAAAATGAAAGGATAGATTCAACTGTGCGTGAACTCTTGAGTGTTCCCCAGCACTGACAGAATACCGCAAACTCACCAAAATAACATTAGTATTTGTTAAATGTGTATTTGATGACATTTCGTGTATGTTTGACTAAAAAACATTTTTTTGTTCTCAGTAATCATTGAACATATAGCTTGCTATCAGTCAATCATGTCCTAAATGTATAGTTCTGGGAATGGTTAACAAACAATTATTTAACATTATTTTGTAGTTAATTCCAGTAAACAATGTACTCACAAATAACTTAAAGCTGTTTACTTGAAATCAAGTTTATCTACTTTCACTCAATAGACTTTTTAATATATAGCACTTTCTACACTATAGCTTTCTGAAGTTTCATTTCCTTCTAAATTTTGTTTAAGATGTATGATTTTTTTTTTGTGTGTGTTTAATTAGAAATATTTAATTTCATGTTGAGTATCTGGGTTGCCCTCCATCGACAATAATTATTAGGAAAAAGTTAACTATAAGTATGAAATATCCTAGTGAAATTTTAATAACTTCCTAATACATGCATGTATCGAAGATTTTTTTTGGGTGGGTCGTGATCATAATTTTTTGGACCTTTTCACAATGAAATAACAGCAAGATGTGATTAAAATATCAATACAATTTGCTTGAAGCAGATGGCAGGCTCAGTTTCAAAATTTATGGAATTGATATAGATTACAGTATGTCACACAATTGGCAAAGTTTTTGGACTCATTGCTGGTACCTCATCAGTGATTTTTTATTTATGTCATTGTGAAAAAAGTCTGGAAAAATGTGAACCTTTGAAAATGTTTGGGGGGGTCGTACGACCTTCCCGACCCCCCTTGCATACACCCATGACATGAACATATTGCAAGAAGTGATTTAATCAGTCAATTTAATGAGTGCTACAAACCACAACTACAGTATTTTGTTTTTCTAATTACATCATATGCTATATATTGGGTAATTCCATGGTAACTGACGTTACATTTCATCCTTTATTATATTCACATAGTTACCCACTTTATATTAAAACCATAAAAAAATGTTACAATTGATGGTGCTAACCGCAAAAACCAATGATTAAAAAAAATATTGAAGAAAAAATATGTCGAAAGAAACATACAAAACATGACTTGTATGCCATGAAATTCTGCATTAAAAGTACAGTTAATTATTACAAATTTGTTAAATTGTTTGTAAAATAGTATTGACACTGGTGTTTTTTTTTGTAGTTGAATTAACCATAAGATTATGCTATTTTGTGTTTGTCACAATACATTGAATTAATTCAGGTTAAATAATAACCTCCTAATTAGTTGTATACATAAAAATTATATTTAGTGTGTGTGTAATTTAATCAAACAATCATGAGTACCCAGTGCTACAAACAACCAACTACTGTACGATATTTTTTATGTGCTATTTTGCATTTGTCTCAATATAATTATTGAGATTAGTTAAATAATAATCTCCTAATAAAATGATTGTGATTAAAGTACTCTGTGCTACAACCAACCAATGATAGTGTTATTCTTTGTTTGTCGGAATATATTGAGATCATGAAAGCCTGAGGAATATATATATATATATATATATATATATATAGGCTAACTGATTTTTTTAAGACACAAAAAAAGTTTTTAAGAGATACAGGCTTTGGAATATTTTAATATAAGGAGGCGTAACCACCCTATTTTCTACCTTTCCACCAGTACAGGTACACTTTGCTTCAAGTTAAATAATAATCTCATAATGAATTTTTAATAATGTCCTAATTTCATAGGCCAAATATTGGCATTTGGCTTTAAAGTTAAATAATGCTATCCTAATGAAATTTTAATAATCTTCTAATTAGCTGTATACACATAAAAAATGTTTTTTAGTGATTGTAATTTAATCTGCCAAGTACAGGTACTTAATGCTACAAACAACCCAATGCAATAATATTATAATTATGTGTATACAATTTAACTATTTAATAGTGCAGCAAGAATGATTTTTTTATGTTGGTTTCCAGCATATCATATGTGTTCATTCCAGCATTTGTATTCATGATTGACAATGTATTGTATATTTTAGTAATCAGTTACAGTACAGTATATGTAAATAGTTTATTGTGTAAAGCATATTTAAATAATAATAGAAATTTAGAACCTGAAACTTGTTGCTTTGTTTGTACATGGCGTCTCTAAACAATAAGTTCCAGAAAG